TTTCCATTTTTTACATATAGTTCATATAAATTGAATCGATCATTCTATTACAGTATGCTTATTAAAAAATAAAGCGGTCTCACTTTGTTAAATTTATCATAAATTCTCATATCTACAAAAGACTTATAAAATTTTTCTGAATACTGAATACATACGACTGCTTTTACATTTTTCCTCAACGTACTACAAATAAAATAAAAAGATTAAGTGCACGTGCTAAGACGTGGAATTGAATGGAATCTCTTCAGCGAAGAGAACATGGACTGGTGATGTGGCGGTGAGCATGAAATTTGAATACGCTAAGATGCAGACTCCTTTTTATATTCTGATTTTTTTTACTTTTTATTTTTTCACTTTATTTTTGCGAGATAAAAATAGCATCGATTTCCAATCTCGCTCGACACATGGAAAAAGTCATATTTTCTCGAGAGGAACACTTTGGTTTTTTAAACCTATATTCGACGTAAAATTCAAAAATAAACATCGTAAAATTCAAATGGTACCAGTTTCTATTTTTTACAAAACACTGTGCATCGAAATTTCTAACTTATCTTTGCGGCGAATAGAAATTAAAACAAACGCAAAACAATTTTTAACAATGTAACTTTTTCAGCGATCTATCTCTCTATTTAACGATTTAACTATTTTTAACAATTCCGCAAATTGGATTGTCTATAAAATATTGACTTTATTTGCGTATATAACAAAAATTGAACGGAGTAGTAAATTTACAATGTTATTTCCTCGAAAATAAAAATTGTAAGATTTTACAAATGTTTTCTCTTGTTTTTCGTATCATTATTTTAAACATTTATTACACTAGTCATTTCGAGACAATTGAGTGTATAATAGCCAAACACGAAATTTTTTTAAATTATTAATGGACTAATAATATACGCAACAACTGCAATAAAAAGGCAAAATCATAAAGAAATAAGAATAACATTTTCTTATTACTTTTATTAGACATAAATAATAAAAATTTTTTCAAATTACTGTCTCTCTCTCTCTCATAATTACATTTAACAAATTATTATCAGGAATATAAATTATGAAATAAAATACCAATTTAACCTGTATGGATTGAAATAATTTTGTATGATGCATAAAGGAAGAAGAAAATATGAACGCAATTATGATATTATTGCGAAGCGTCATAAGTTGTGTCATGGAAAACGTGCATTTCATAACTATCGTCAAGGAATAATTAGTGGAGATGTCAGAGTGCCGGATACGAAGAGGCGCGGTCCTTTCACTCTCGGGGGTGTGCAGTGATTATTGCACGCGTTTCTCAGAACAATCTTTTTACAAAGCATTATAAGGTTGTTCCACTTTTACGGTCAAGGTTGCTTCTCTCTTAGAGAATTTCTTATACTATAATATATTACAAACCTTACACGCGCGCTCATATGGATTATAATAAAATATAATTCTATGTTGAAATATCGATATTTCTTTTAAGAATTTTACACTCCAGAAGATATAAGTCAGACACATTTTCTAATATTCTTTAGGTATCTACATTTGCGAGATCTTTCTAAAATATTTTTATATGTGATTATAATCGCGGTTTTTTCGACAAATTGAACTTTGGCTAAATACAAGTGTTTTACACTTCCCATGGTTTCACACAGAGCGGCGAGTAGGTTGCATGCTCCCATAAACATCGCAGTGCATTGCATCCGTATTGCGCCGCAGACAATAACTGCAAATGTCAGTCTCACCATTAGCACTGATCACGCTCAATCGCAGCGGGGTAACCATACCTCCTTTGATCGTCGTAAGTACGAATTTTCAGAACGTGATGCAGCGGATAAAGTCGTATTACGGCGCAACACTTTGTGAAACATTTACAGACGCGTAGTGCAACTTAAGCAGAAAAGATCATACTTAAAGGTTGAATTTCCGATTTTTTTTATGGATGTACGCCGTTTGCCTTCTCTATTCATCTGCTAACAAATTCAAAGTATCTCTTTAATTTGCTTTCGTTGCATGTTTTTACACGATCTTTAAAAATATATTTATGCATATAGTTTTTGATTCGTATTAAAACTTATAGAAAGAGAGATAGTTGTATTTCAAAAAGCAGGTTTAAATACAAAGATATTTTATGCAATAATGATGATGTGTATGAGATCACTGTAATATTTATGTGTATTTAAGTTTACATATATATATTTATAAATAATATATATTTATTTATAAATAAATATATAATTTAGATATCTAAATATTACAATGTTCTCTTTTTTAATTATATTTATTTAAACATTTTATGTTTAAATAAGTATATATATATATATTTAATAATGGCAACATACGAGATCAATTTTAAAATTGTATAAAATATTTTAAAAGTAAATTTTTCATTTTCACATATCACTTAACTAGTATAAAAAAATATTTTCTTCAGTATAGAATGACAGTGGACTATTGCAAAATTATAAACGACATAAAGTCACAAAAAAGATTTCTTTATACAAAAATCATTCTTTTCGTAAGATAAGAGTATATAGAAGATCTCACGGTTTTCAATAACTCTGAATACCATAATATTCACGTGAAATTAGAGCATTCGAGTTCACATCTCTTTCATCGTACCCGTTAAAGGTCGAGTACGCGATGTCGGTTGGCTTCATCGATTATATATCGTATTGAGAAGCCCATTAATTCCTGAGAGCACGGCTCTTTCCCAGCTAGCCTGTTCTCGACAAACACGTCGATTCACCTTGCACATCACATAAATTGCAACCTAGAACTTCGTCATATTACTGCATTATAGCGGTATTCATCGTATCGTATTAAATATACTTATAAAATAATTATTCCTTCTATATATCAGTATGCAATTAATGCACAAAACGAGAAAGGAATTTAATTTCAGGCGATGGATAAAATTCGAAACGGTCAAAACCGTAAAAAGAATCTTTCTGTGCCAAATCTTATTATACTAAATAGTTTCATGTAACTTTAATTTTTCACTCGATTTCTATTAAATATGACAATCAAACTTTATTAGTGTTGCGCACATGAAGCAAACATCGAGTGTAATCACAAATTGCATAAAATTTTATCTACATACTATGGTATGTGGCGCATATAGCATTATTATTTGTGATTACACTTAATGCTCATAACGTGACCTTATGGTCTTGAAATGTATGCACACTCTCATAACGAGCGCAGTTAGCATTAGCGTATGTAATCACATTTATTTCGACGTTGCCTGAAACCTCGCATAATTATGTATAATGCTGCTGAATATGTAAGACGCATAATATTTGCAGATTAAATATGCATAACGTATGCGTAGAATCAATTCCTTGTATCATATTTTGACACATCTATGTATTTTTGCATCCGTTAATAATGTGTGAACTTTTCAGCACATTTATTACATTAATATTCACGTAAATTTTTATTACACGTAAACTTTTTATACTATTACTACGAAGAATTTTTGATGAGATTACAAAACCGTTTCTATGTAATCTCTGGGGTTAAGGCTCGATTGCCCTTCTCCTGAATGACTCAATCGCGCGATTGACCTATGCTGCTACGTGGTCACGCAATTGAGATTTGAAATCCAAGTAGCGAATTCTTTAAAAAAGTTTATAACTCTCACTTCGATCAAAATTAAATTACTTTTCTCTCAGTTTAACGGTTGAAATGATTTCTCTGATGTGTTTTTATTAGCTGATGCAACGCGTACCTCTTGATTCTACAATGTAATTGATACACGTTTATGGATAGAACGGCAATTAATTAAAATAATATGCAATTGCTGCCAATTTGCTTCTAATAAAATATAATTGTGATACAATTAAAGTAATAATAAAAAAAAACAATTCAATTAAATATGTGTAATTATTATAAACAAGTTTCTTTTAAAGTAAACTCCATTAAAGTAAGCTCCACAAAATTGTTATAAAATTATAAGGTATCGAACATATTTGTGTTTATTACAAAAAGATTGTTTGAATTTATCTCACGATCTAAAATTTTCTCCTTTAAAATAGCATAGAAGAGTTTCAAGCAATTTGTTTACTAAAATGTGTGATACCTGATATCTTCCGAAAACTAACTTTCGTCACCATTTACCTTCCGCGCATAGAGATGAAAATCGATAGATGGCAAACTTTACGCGAGAGAGAAATATTTTTCAAAGCTCTGGCGCCGAATGAACTCATTTTAACTTTTTCCCAGGGTTTCATCCGTGGAAGTCATTCGATGAGTCGAGGGTGGGTGTGTCAAATGCTGATCTTGCACAATGCATGAGATTCCTTTGCAAACGAGCGTGATTTGAAAGGATAAACTGAGTCATATACGTAAAGATTGTACATACGGATGTTTAATACGTGCAATTATAACAAAAGAAGTTAGAACTTACTGAGATTACATATTTGTTTCTACATTTGTTATCCAACTTTTTGCATATTAAAGAAGAGAAAGAGTAAAAAAAGATATGAAAGTCACTCTGCATATATTTTCATGAAGAAGAAAAACGTAAGAGAGATTTGCAATCTCAACAGTGTACAGAGTGACGTGCATATTCAGAATAAAGTATTTAAGAAGATACTCTTGTTTCTTTTGAAGGTGTGAAAAAATATTTTTTACAATAAAGTTTTGTATGGACTTCAAGAAAGATAACAAAAAAAAATTGATTACAATTTCACAACTTTATTTTTAGTGATATTTTTAAAATTAAAAAGATATTCAAACGCCCCTTTAGATATTATATCTCAAACTTCTAGAAATAAATGAAAAAGTATGAAATATTATATATATATATAAATTAATTAAAAAATAGTCTGGTCGTGTGGAAAAAAGCGAGCGCTGAAGAATCTGAGATAAACAAATTCCATAAATTCCAAATCTCAAAGTATCGCAAGATAATTGCACGGCGTGTAACGATTGCGCTAGTCAGCAAGTCTAGTACGTACAGATCAGACAAAGGAGGTTGTTTCTGAAATTTCTGAGCCAAGAGTTCCCAGCGAAGGTCACGTAAAGGGTCCATGTCCAAAGGTGGGTGGGTGTGTCGGATAGTGACCTTCTTACACAATGAACGAGAGACTAACATCATCAACGGATATGATTTGAAGGGATCAGCGGGGGCGCGGTCGGAGATCCTAGAAGATGTATATAAAGTCTGCTGAAGTCGGTCGTAGTCACATTCAAGCAATCGCCAGTCTGCACGATGAAGACCCTCGTAAGTATTCATCGTCGGAAGTGCGCGCTCCTGTCTTTCTTTCTTTTGTTACCCAAGCAATCAACGTGCCGCAATCGGACCGCTGTTCTTTCAGCGGAACGATGGAGTGACATAAAGTGACAAACGCGTTGCGAATACGTAGTTCATTCTTGTCGAAGAATTAAGCAAGCAGTACAATGACCGAATAATTTTATCGCGCGGGAGTTCCGCGATCTATTCACTTGGCATCGTACAATAAATATAGTTTCAAAGTTAAATTTTGTGGTGTTTTCTCCCAAAATCAAATTTTTTAAATCGTTTAAGTGGAGAAACACTTGGTGCAATATCGTACTGAGCTATGTAACTTATTGCTGAACTCACCTCGAATTGAAATTCTCCATCTCTAGTTCATTTCGTTTGCCCTGTGCGCCATTGTTGCTGCGTCGCCTTTGAGCGGTCACGGATATTACGGTGGCCATGGAGGTTACGGTGCTCACGGAGCTTATGGAGCTTACGGAGGTCTAGGCTACGGCGCACATGGAGTAGCTCTTGCTGGACCAATCCTTGGAGCGGCGAGTGTCACGGGTCCACACGTGGGTGCCACTGCCGTTTCCGCTCCAGCGATAGGGCCGGCTCGTTTATCCGGATCGATGGCTGGTCCTGCTCACGTGTCGGGTGCCGTTGCTGGGCCAGCTGTTGTGACTGCATCGGTCGCTGGTCCAGCGCACGTAGAAGGCTATGGTGGTCCATACGATGGCGCTTATGGTGGGTATGGAGATGGTGCCTATGGTGGATATGGAGGTGGCTATGGTGGTAATTATGTCGGTAAGTAATATAACTAATTATATAAAATCGTTGTATGAAAGAAAAATCTTTTAACAACAAGTAGTTACAAAAGAAAGAGAGCTTCTAATTTAGAAATAATCTAAAATGAAATAAATTTAAAAAATGTGCAGTACAAAAATGTGATTTAAACAATTTGTTAAATAAATTTACATGAATAATTTATATATTTATATTTTTATAGTATATACTATTTTTTAAATTTGCAGATTATTTTTGTGTGGATGCGTGTATGCATTCTTGAAAGTAATTGCATGTACTGAAAACAATTCTATCCGTTTTTCTAATATTATCTTATTTTCTTTGTTTTCAGGAGGTTACGGATATGCGGCTGGTCCTGCTGCTTATGGTGGTTACGCAGGATATGCTGGCGGTCACGGAGGGCATGGGGTAGTCGTTGCTGGACCGGCTACTCATGGTGCCGTTCTGGCTGGACCTCATTCCGGAAGTGCAGCTGTTTCTGGACCGCATGCCGGTTCGGTGGTGATTGCCGGTCCTTCCGGAAAGATTACGGCCCATGGAAGCGGTTACGGTGCCGCCATCCAGGCCGGCCACGGCCACGGCCACTGGTAACGCGCGCACAACTATCTGCGATACATAAAAGAAAAGAATCTCTCTGAATTATCATCGAAAAAAAATAGAATACCGTTTCCAATTCCTCCCTGGTTTTCTAAGAGAGATCAAAGAAGTATTATATGGGGGGTATAAAATTGCTGCAACACGATGACGTTTGTCGTGCTCGATGCTCTCGGTTCATAGTGTGCGCATGGATACTTACATCTCTTTTCTGTACGAATGGAATAAATTTTCTTCTTTACAAAAGAAGATATTCATGTAATATAAAATAACAACCTAGAGAGTGTTATTTATATATATGTATACATATAATGTATTGCCTGGTGTATCTCATGAATTTTGATCTCTCACATCTATCAAAAATTTACATACTGTACATTACACGTGACGTACTATCTTTGTATTGTATATTCTTAAACGTAATTATTCAAGCAACATTCTTAAAGAAATTATTAAATCGGACTGTATGATTATGAGAGTCATTGCTTCAATTAATATCTAAGAAATTCTTCGGTGGAAAATTGTGTTGAAACTTTGTATTAAATTACTAAGGTTAAAACTAAAAAGTCAGGTCAATTATCTTACACAAATTACCGTGGCAATTTGATTAACTAATCTAACCTTCTCTTCTATCAGCAAAGCTGCAATTATTCATGACGAAAGCAATAAGTGATACGGCACAATTATATCTGACTTTAAGTCTTGAACAGTTGTTCGTTATTTAAGCAAACCATTACTGTTTAAATTTTCCATTTATCTTGAAAATAAACGGTAGTGCATTGCAAATTGACATCGTACATGAAACGCACATTTATATTTCAGTAAAATTAAACAATATACATAATTTATAAATTGTACTAAAAGATAAAATCGTACTGAAGCTTTAATACTTAATTTTGTTACTTGATGTTCATTTTGCGCTTATTTAATTTTAGCATGCTGTAATTTTACATTAATAATAATGAATAAGTATTACAGTTTACCTAATTAACTAGGATTGGTAGAACTTCATCTTTGCCGATTTTTTTCTCACAATTCATATTTTCCGTCCAACGTGACTCATTTAATCTAAATTTCTTCTTCACGCTACCTTTCCTGCACTTGCACTTCGTTATTTAGCCTTTTCTGTCGCAATTTTTGAACGTAAATAAAATATGGGAATAGCGATATATTACAGCCGTCCGTACTTTATTCACTAATCAGAACGGCTACACGTTTCACGTCACGTATCGTTTGACCAAATAGTTATATCAGTGGCACTGATTCATATCGCTTGGTAATAAATCACTTGTGGTGTCCGTCAAGCATAATCACTAAACGCAAGGAGTTGATGAAACTGACATAGATCCGGCATGTACCTTAATGCAACGCGTAATAATCGTTGTAAAGGGTAAGGTCATCGCGTGACTCGATGCGGACATGGTCCGCCACTCATAAGCTGAACATGAAAAGTCACGGTCAGAGAGAAAACCAGATAGAACGTTCGTTGAAACATTGATGTAAATTAAAAATTCTATTATTATCCAAGACAATTTTTTCATTGATACGTTAAGACAAAAATGAGCTAAATTTTAATAAATATTTGTTTGAATAGTACTAACTGAATATTTACTAAACAGAGTGTCCCGAAATTCGCGAATTAAAATATTACGATAAGAAAATTTTCAAAAAATTAAGTAAAAGAGTTATTTGTAATTTTTATTTTAACGCTATATAGCAATTACTTTCTGTCCAGTTACAGACTATATTTAGACGATCTACGTTGAAATGTTGAAGTGCACACGCTTACTAATTTACCGCACGCGTGTGATTGTTTAAACGTAACCTTGGCTATATTTAAACCTTCATACCTTTAAAATTACTGTTCGAAATAAAAATGTACTAATAAAGTTATATACACATAACTTTTTCACTCAATTTTTCGCAAACTTTCTTGCAATGGTATTTGGATTCGCAAATTTTGGGACACTCTGTATTTATTTGGTACCAAAACTATTAATTTGATTTAACTCATTTTTTTATTTAGTGAATATTTATTTGCTCTAAGTAAATGTTAAATTAGTATTATTAACACATTTAATACTATTTGAATTTATGAAAATTTGGTACATATTTTTTTAATGTAACAATAATTTCATGTTTGTTTAATATAAAACTAATTTGCAATATTGTGCATCGAGATACATGATGTATATAACAATAATCTATCTGATGAATTTCAATGTTAAAAGAATTCCTGTATTGTTAGTGTTTGGTAATTGCGTATTCACGTATCAGAATAAAATATATAATTTTGATACGATCCATTCATAATTTTTTACACTCGAAGGCCGCGTAATGAATCACGGACGAAAGTATACCAAGAAGATATCGGACATAAATTTGAGTATCGGTGCATCTAGCGAGAAATTTATACAGGATTTGCACAAATTCAAGTATGAAACGCGATTTACGGTATCTATTACGCGCGTAATTTATCGTGCGATTTACAATCGCCAGATCGTCACATGGATATATATTTAATCTTAGATTTGCTTGTGTCTTCGCCTTTGTCCACCCCTTTTTTCTGTAACAAATTGCTATCGGAAAATGATATACCCCGTACTTTGTTCGCGCGGCGAGTACTCTCGGACGGAATATCGAGCGACTCTCGATACCTGGCCTTCGTCTTATGGGAAAATCGTGGCCCGAGCCACGTCCCGGCTGAGATAGCGACGACGCGACTACGTAATCCCGCGCGTTTCATCATCGCGATGGTAGTTGCATTGTGAGAATGCACCGAACCCTCGCAAATTCCGAAAGGTCACCCACTTGTAATCGGCCGCCCACCGTCTGCGAACGAATAGAATAAGAAATGGGTCGCGAGCAGCAGGCCGCGCCGAGGGCCGCACTGTGTTTTCATGACGGACAGGCCAATAACGTGCACTGTGCAAGGACGTTAATTGCTATGCGTTGACACTGGTGGGCGATAATCGATCGTGAATTAGCGGGCGTCCGTAACAGCCGCATCACTCGCAGGCGGTACAAGTTAATGGGCGTTAGCAATCGTGGGAAGATATTGTTCCAATTAATACTTGAGCTTCTAAGATTCACTTAGTAATATTGTGCGGCAAGATTATCGAAGAATTCTGGAAATATTATTTTAAGGTTACATAATAATTATTACCTAATCCGAATATGAATTCTTTTAACATTTTGCTTATAAATAGAATTTAGACACTACGAATAGTGCTGCACAAATATAAAAAAATAAAGAAAACCTAGGATATCTAAGCAAAAGAGATATTTTAAATAAGCAATAATAGTTCTCGTACTATTTCTAAATTATTTTATTGATTTGAGAAAATTACATTTTATTTTATGTTTGTAATGAATATTTTTTTAAATTACACATGTCGTGTTTTTTAATACATTTTGTAATATAATAACATGGACTATACTGATAAAATAAAAGTAATGTTTAATCTGTCAGTTGATTAAAAGATAACATAATTAAATTATTTTGCTTAAATCAAAGATAAGATAGTATTTAATAATAAATTTTATCTAAATTAATGAGGTAGATAAGTTTGACACAAAGTAATTGGATAAATTATTAACTTTTCCTCTTAACGTATTTGTTACATAGTTTCACTTTATAAAAATTCTTATAAAATTAAATAATGCAGCTTGCATTCAACAAATAATCTTTTGAGTCTTTCTGAATTTTCGTAATAAGAAATTAAGTTTGCAAGCATATGTTGTAATTCTTGTAATATTTGCTTCAAAGAGAAATTTCCAAATTTTGTATAACCAATCTCTTTCAAAAATCCTTAACTAATCGAATTTTATCGAATATTTATAAACAAATTATTTAAGTACAACTAATAAAAATCTTGTTAATATTATTTAATATCTAAATAAGTAATTAAAATACTGTTAAATATCCGAAATTATATTTACCGAGTTGAAAGCTATCAAGAAAAATAAACTAGTTCGTATAATTTACGTGCAGTTGAATGAACCGTCATACTATACCAACTGTATATCTAACAATCCTGGCAAAACGTCATTGTATTCACGCTTTCTACGAACCGCATTTATAAGGGTTTGAAAACGACGGCTCCCGCGTGTGAATTCGTCTTTGTTGCCGCCATAAATCACGAGTCTTGTCGCGGGTCAGAGTTACGACCGAGACCGATCGTCGTCAGCTACCGGATAGCCGGTGGCATTCCTGTGGAGATCGATTTGGGGAGAACATAAAGCAAGAAAGCCGGATTGTTTTCTCTTGGCAAACTCATTCTCTTTCTCTCTTACCCCCTCCGCGTTATACGAACAACTAAGCGAAAATAGCGTGAGGCGTGGCTGATAATAATGTGGTGAATAGGGCGTGTGTGAAAGATCGTTAACAAGCCGAACCATAGAGAGCCGCTGTAGATCGTGCAAGGTCGATCGATAGATCCTTCGACAGTGGTAACAGTTTCGGAACGCAGATCCGCGAGCAAAGTATTTCATTTTGAATGCCTGCGAAGAATTAAAAAGAACATACTAATTTTTGAGATTAAGAATATTAATTGAATAAATATCCAGTTGATTTGTTAATTATTATGATTAAGACAGGAATAGTTTCATTATATATATTTCCAACCGCGAAATTGAAAAATTTTTTAAATTGAAAATAGAGCTGCTGACGCAAAATATATCTCCATAAAGAAATTAATTTTTCCAAAAATAGACCATTTTCATCAAATTAATTATACTATTTTGATTGTTATTGCAATCAAGTATTTTCGTGAAAAGTTTATAAAAATAAATCAATCTCTGTGCCACATGCATAGTTGACAATTGAAAATATTGAAATGTTATCTTCTTGTTTTTTATTATCAATTTGGAAACGTTTTTTTAACAAATTTATTATTAACACAGCAAAGTAGCGCATAATGTCTTCAATAAAACTCCATAAAAAGAAAACTTTCAAATAGCGCCAAAATGTATACGCACATCAAATATCTGTAGATATATTTATACTACCTATATTTCTCAGCAGTTTCATACTCTTCTTGGAGATACTACTCACCTGAATTGTAAATATTTCAAACATCAAGCGATTGTGGAAATCTCTTTAGTGAAAAATTCCGAGCCAGGAACTATGCGGGACCATCGTTGCTTTGCCACCTTTCGATCCCATCGATATCGAATTTTTTTCCCTCTTTCATTAAAGCCATACTGTCGGTTGACCACCGCATAGCGCGTCTCCATCGATGATGACAGAGAATACTGGGATTCGATGCAG